TGTTTTTGTCTTGACAGGAAAAGAGACACCAGGATCGAGCTCTGGCAATTTACAAACAAGTCCTGCGAAATGATGCCAAGAACCTGTATGCTGCCAATGGCATTGGTCTGCATTGCTCTATTACTTCTTTTAAAATTTGGCGTTTCCATCAAACTGTAAACGTCTGACACATTAAACAAACATTGTTTTTATCCAGGTGCCGTTCTGGCTCACAAGGGCTTCTTCCGAGAGGCTCGTGATGTGTTTGCTCAGGTGAGAGAGGCCACAGCAGACATCAGTGACGTTTGGCTCAACCTGGCTCACATCTATGTGGAACAGAAGCAGTACATCAGCGCTGTGCAGATGGTAAAAGCCTCATTTGTGACAACCTTTCGAAAGTAATTGTCGTCTGAGTTTGTACAGTGAAGTATTTTGACCTTCTCCACAGTATGAGAACTGCCTGAAGAAATTCTACAAGTATCAGAACACAGAGGTGCTGCTGTACCTGGCAAGGGCGCTCTTCAAATGTGGAAAACTCCAAGAGTGCAAGCAGATGCTACTGAAGGTAACATGAAGGGGAAAAATTAAATAATCCGATTATATTGTACATTATAAGGGGGGAATATAATGTTGGTTTTCTTGATGTGTTTCCCACCAGGCCCGTCACGTGGCGCCAAGCGACACAGTGCTGATGTTCAATGTGGCCCTGGTGCTTCAGAGACTGGCCACTCTGGTGCTGAAAGATGAGAAGAGCAACCTGAAGGCGGTGCTCAGCGCTGTCAAAGAGCTTGAGCTGGCTCACAGGTAGTGACATTAGACCTGATTGAGATTACTGATGCTCCTGGTTGTTCTCTGCTCAATCTCCTATAACCTCACCTTCCTCCTCTTCCTCCTCCTCACACAGGTATTTTAGCTACCTCAGCAAAGCCGGAGATAAGATGAGGTTTGACCTCGCTCTTGCTGCATCTGAGGCTAGGTCAGTATACATTTATCCTTACACACTGGAAGTTTTTCTGTGCACTCAATGAACAGTTATCAGAATTTAAACGTAAACATCAGCAGATAGCGATATATATAATATTTCACCTCTTTCTACATTTAAATGATAGTATTTCACATGGGGCTTGTGCTGGAGCTTTGTTCATTAAGTGTGTTATAATATCACTGGGGGTACGTGTGTTGTGGGATTGCAGGCAGTGCTCTGACCTGCTGAGTCAGGCTCAGTACCACGTGGCAAGGGCCAGAAAGCAGGATGAGGAAGAGAAGGAGCTTCGGGCCAAACAGGAGCAGGAGAGGGACCAGCTGCGCCAGCAGATGAAGAAAGAACAGGTATTCATTCTGTTGCCATCCAAAACAAGAATAGCTCACCATAAGTAGGTTACATGTTTAGCATGTTTTAGAGGCATGTGCTTCTTATTGATTGGTTTGTCACTTTCAAACCTGGTTAGGAGGATAAACGGAACAGAGTGGCAGAAGAACAGAAGAAGCTCCTGGAGCAGAGAGCTTTGTACGTGGAGAAAACCAAGAACCTGCTCACCTTTGCCGAGGGGTCGAAGGAAATGGCCAAAGAAAAGAAGAAGGGCGGTGGTGGTGGACGTGTGAGTGCTAACGCTGATAGCAAACTCATTACCAGACGCTTAAATTACACTGAATCCGCCGTTGTTAAACTTGTTTTTTTAACTCTCAGCGTAAGAAAGGAGGTGACATGGATGAGTTTGTCAACGACGACTCTGACGAGGACCTGCCACTGAAGAAAAAGAAGAAGAGAAAGGGTGGAAGTGGCAGCGAGCAGGAGGAGGGTGAGGATGGAGAGAAGAAGAAGAAGAGGAGGAGGTGAGTCTGCAGTAGTGAATGACAATGTGGTTAATTTCGACCACAGTGCAAAGAGCGTAGATGCTAAGAATACTTTGTCTGGTGTTGCAGACCTACTAAAACAGGAGATGATGACAGCGACGATGAGGAAGGTGCATCTCGACCCAAGAAGCAGCGTAAACCCAAAGAACGCAAGAGGATCGAAAAGGTTCTTATTGATCTTTCTTTACTGCTTTTTGATAAAAATATTTTCACTAACATCTAGTATTTCTCGTTTTAAGCACCAGCCTGAGCGTTTGCCACCGTCTCTCAAAGGAAAGATCAAGTCTAAGGCAATAATCTCCTCCTCTGAATCATCTTCGGATGAGGATGGACTGAAAATAGCTGAAGACAGGTAAACTATTGTGCTCAGAGTCAGATTTTACACTCAAACGTGCTGGAAACGATGAATTGATTGGCGCACTTTCTCTGACAGACACCAAAGAGACAGTGGTTCAGGATCTGACGACGAGGGAGGCCACACAAAGCGCATTGCTTCTGACAGCGACTCGGATGGTAGAAGGAACCAATCCGGCAGCGAGGCAGGCAGCCCTCGGCGCTCTGCGCGCTCTGAGGATGACGACTCTGGCAGCGACCGCCCAGTGAAGAAGAGGAGGGTGCAGCGGCAATCCGACTCAGAGCAGTCAGACAACGAGAGCAAGAGGAGTCAGTCGGGATCAGACAATGAATCCAGACCGGGTTCACCCGTCGCGGCATCAGACCGAGGATCAGACAGAGGATCTGAAGTGGGATCAGACAACGAGGGCTCCCCCCGTCGCTCTGACAACGCCTCTGAACCTGAAGCCTCCAACAATGAGGACGACAGTGATTAAATCTTAAAATCCCTCTTCAGGACTTTTTCCATGTAAAACTGTCCACAGCTGCATTTTTATTTCCTTTTAAAAGCAGGGATTTCATGGAATTAGCCTAGAAAAGTGTAGTTTTTTTTCTGGCCTTTTGGCCATTTGATTTTCACGTCCACTGTAAATGTCTTTTCACAGATTCTGAGTTTTGTTAAACAGAAATTAAATTGTTTGAAACCAACTGAAAGGTGTAATCATCTATTTTATATCTCAGATAGTCAGACCAGACAAACAAAAAAATGGGAAGATACACCAACAAAAAATGAAATAAAAAGAGAACAAAGCCTTGTGTGAGATGTGCAGTTATTCTCGTGCAGCATTCCAGGAGCGACTCAGTAGATAGAAACAACTTCATAGTGATTTCTACTTGCTGCATTATCATTCTTGGTTTCCATCCATAACATGTGAAATGTGTCTCTGAACAAACTGGACAGAACAAATTACATATAAAGCCACTTAATCAACAGACTTAAACCATAAAGAGGCACTTTTCCAGAGCAATTTGATCATTTGTCTTGTTGACCAAACACTGATATTTATTCTGCAACAAATTACATCCAGGACGGACATTTACTGCAGCTTTTCCACTTTGTCAGTGGGATTATGCAAAACCTACTGTGGTGATTTTAATGGAACTTGTTGGAAGGGAAGGCTGTAGGCTAACAAACACATTAACATTTGATATAAGGCATTTTTCAACATTACGATTACTCAAAATATAAGAGCTTTATGAGAAAGAACGCAGGCATAGACAACATTTGATGCGGCTGAATGATTATTGGACCGTGATGGGGTAACACAAGCCATTGCAGTTAGAAATGTGTAATCAGCTTCCCTTTAGATTTTTTTAGTATGGAAGTTTGTCACTTTCCCTTGTTCTTCCTCAAAGACAAACCATAAACGGGGCTTTTTGATGCAACTAAATCATATTTGTCTTTCTCCCAACATCATCTACCATTACTTTTCAAATATCAGGCAAGTGTCTTCAAGTCAGGATGTAACATTTCAAAGTTTAATTGTTCATATTCTGCATTTACACTCAAGCAGTCTGT